CTGCTTTTCCTTCCCTGAGTCAACTGCTCATTTTAACAAAGGTCAGTTGACTGCGATGCTGTTGGCACCCTTGGCGACCAAAGGTCCAAATCCCACAGCATGTGAGCACAGCTATCTTTCCATCTCATCCTAGGTACCTTACCCCAGGTAGAGGCCTCATGGCTGAGGATACCTCATGCATGTGGTCCTTAGAACAGCAGAGAAATCTGTAAAGTACAGGACAGTTCCCTGGTAATTCATCAGGGACATGCTTTCAGGGCCAGTATGAGTGAAAACAGAAGACAGGAAAAACACGAAGTCAGAGCAGGGTGGCCACCGCAAGGCTCTACGGGGAGTCCCACCCTGGGTTTAGGATGCACAGGTGTACCTGTCTCACCTCTGTTACAGAAGAAAGAGGGCCGGTGCCCCCTGGCGATGGAGGGAGGACAGTGTTATTAAAGAGCAGAAGTAACCGGGATGAAGGAAATGATCGCTTGTCCCGCATGAAGAAAATAAAAGTTCTTCAGTGTGCAAGGCCATCACCAGGATCAAGACCTACAGTTTGTCCCACCCCCTCGGCCCTTGCAGGGTTACGGTTCTTGGGAAAGCAAGGAGTATGTCGGTCCCATCTCAGTGGGCCATACAATACTGTTTGTTTTACCGCATTCTCATTTCTTCCAAATCCTGTAAATGAGCTGTGTTTTCTTCCTCTCAAACGTGTATAGGATCTTCTCCTTGAGGTAGTTGTGTCTCAATCATTTATTCAACCAGTGTTTATCGGGCATCTAGAATGTTCTGGGCACAAGGTTATCATGTGAGCAAATGCAGACTTGCCCTGCCCTCCTGGGACACACAGATGCTCTTCAAATGACTCCACCTATAGTGTGACCCTCAGCAGCACAGGCCACAAGGGAGAGATGAAGATGCTTGGAGATACTTGGAATTGGGGGAACTGATGACCTAGGCTCAAATCACAGCCAAGCAGGCCACTCTGCCTAGTGGAGCCATCACATCTGTGTCATCCAGGCCTCAGAAGCCCGCTGGGAATCCAGGGAAGCTGCCACGTCTCTGAAACATTCATCAAGAATGTCCCAAGTAGAGCCCAGGTTCATATGTTACCTTGTGTATTCCAAGAAAATGTGAGTGATAAACTCAGATCTCTGCCCATTTGAGCTAGAAAAAAAAAAAAAGACTGTTGTGACTCATGTTTTATGTTGCATGAAGAGGGAGGGGCAGGGACCAGGTGGAAAAATGGGTCTTGAATTATAAACACAAGAGTTCAAAGAGAAGTAATTCAGGATAATGTAAATATTGTTGAACTTAAAACTGAAAATGTCCACCCTAATGGTAGATTTAAGTGTGAAGGAAAATTACCCTTAAAATGGGTGCTTTCTGATCAGTGCTTATAGTGGTCAGTTTGTGAGCTGAGAAGGACCTTACAAGAGTATTGCTTTGCTGATCCTGTTTCTCATCCCTGGCCTGGTGTTACCTGGCTAGGGATTGGGGACATTATGAGAACATGTTCCTTTTGTACCTAGCCCCTTTGGTAGAGTCTCTCTGGGTACATGGACAGGTGCCCATATATTATATTCTGTCTCTAGGAAAGTGGGCAAACAGCTGGTGACATGCAGTCATCATCTGTACATGAGCCTAAGTAGCAAAGTCATTTAGACATGGTGTTAGAAGGCTGAAATTAATAAAATATTTAATGTGCTACTTGAAGCATTTGTTTTTGAAAGGAAAAATTCCATAAACTAAACTTCCACAGAAATTCTTTAGAAGTGACTATTTCCAGTAGATTTTAAAAGATATCTTTGTACACAATCGGTTGTGACTATGAAATACTGACAGACATCTTTTATAAACCTGTTAGTATGGGGTTTTCACATTAACCTAAAATATTTAGTGTAGTTCAGGAAATGAGAGTAATAAAGCTACTAGGCTACAAGATGTGTGGCGCTGTCACCCTTTCCACAGAGGAGAAGACCACTGTCCACAGAGTCCATTGGCCTGTCCAGGTCTCAGGCTGGTGTGGGCGGAGCACTTTGGAGCCACCTGCTGTGACAGCATGCCTTGGCCCCTCCCCTGCTCTGTATCAGTCTTTGCTGGTGTTACCCCCACATGGTCCCTAAACCATGCCATGCTGCAGCCGTGACAGTGTTTAAAACTCCTTTACGTCTAGTGTTTCTTTGCGTATTATTTTCAGATATAAAGTGTTATGCTTTATGTCAAGATAAAACAAACCACCTGGTTTATTTGTCTGCCTATGTAGGGGGTTTTATGAACGGGGTGCTTATTAAAGTGAGTTCAGCTGCTTGGCAGCTTCTCTCTGGGCATGACCCCATGCAGATTTGATATACGCCACCTTCTGGTGGGAGCTAGCAGGGGTCAGGGGTGGGGAATCTTCTGGGGATGCATGGCATTCTGTTGGGTTCTGCAGAATTCTTATATTTCAGGAAAGCCAGCATATGTATGTCAATTTGGACAACAACCAAAATGGAATTTACCCTAATATGTAAAATTGAGATTGATTGAGCGTATATTTGTTACAACTTTTGTTGAGAACTTAATTCATAATTTTTCTCTGCATGGTCTCTACTTAAAAATATGCCCCAGATTTTCACATTTTGAATCTATTATATACTTCAAAGGCTTTATTAAACTGTAGAAACACTAAGCTATGGTTTTAGGTTTTTTTCTTTCTTACATGATATTTTACAAATTATAAAAGCAATATAGGTATACAATTACAAGTGAAACAATGCAGAACAAAAGTGAATTCTAGCCCTGCCCCACAAAAGCCAATGTTATTAATCTGGTGTATTTTCTTTCTTATCTTTCTTGCAAGAAATACTTTTTTAAAATCTTGTGTGGATCCTTCTTTTATGGGCACAGATATCTTTGTAGGTGAGCGTGTTGACACCTGGAGCTTCATTTATTTATACACAATACCTCTTGCTGATGAGCAGTTCGAAAATGTACTAGTCACACCATGGAGCCAAAACGCAGCAGGCTTTTTCAGTGGTAATTTGACAGCCCGTTAAACTGGATCTTTGTATCCTGTCAATAGTTAAATTACCCTCTTTATTTTTATCTCATTGATATTTGTTCTGCAAACTAACTTATTTAAAGGAGTAAAGGCATGGGCCCAGGAGACTTAATGAATTTGATTCCCCAGCAGACTAGATGCTAGTTATTTGAAACTTTTAATTTGAAAAATATTTCAGGAACATTTTTATTCTCAAGTCAAAAGGAGTACAACACTTGAAATGCTAAATCATCCTCACGATTGAGAACGTGATTCAGGGCTCTGAGCTTTGCTAGATGAGGTAAAATCATCTCAATTGGAGTCTTCCTTGGTGCCCCCAAATAGGTAGGGGCCACTGTGTTAAGTCAGTGTGGCATGCACATCTGAGAAAATAGTTCTGGATGTGCATTTTTACACACTTCAACACATGTCAACAAACAGCGGGTGGTATGAGCCACGGCTGGACGGTAAACCAGCTACCAGGTATAACTGCCAGACCAGGAGTGAGAAAGGACATCAGGAAAGCCACAGGCAGGCTGAGATTATGGAAAGCTCCCAGGAACATATGGCCTTGTGTTGGTCCTTGAAGGACAGTGGCTATGGCTAAATGGAAAGTGGATCCTCTAGGCAGAGGGACCACCAGGAATTCAACCCCCTTCTGCCACCCATGGGACTTATTTAACAAAGTGGGGAATGAGGCCAGCCTGCCTGTGGGTCCATCGCACTGGTCTGAGGAGTGTAGCTTCACTCTCATTTCCCCTCCTGCTCGTAGGACACTTAGGAGACTAGTGAGATGAGAATAGAAAGTTCATTTTGAAGACCTGAGGGTGGGACGTGTGGTTGAGACCACGTGATGGCTTCAGGAGCTAGACTGCAGGGTTCAACTTGGACCTGTCAAACAGAAGACCCTTGAGCTTGGCCATCCTGAGCTATGAGCTGCTTTCAGAATTTGCCTACTTTTGGATGAACTGAGTATTTTGTATGATTCTATTTGATCCCCTTGCTTGGCCAAGGAGCTGCAACTCCTTGCTGTGTTGTTTTAGTGGTTGCTTCAGTTGTCCTTGAAGAGGAGGTTGCAGATGCGAGGAGTTTGGAGGAGGGAAAGGACAGTCCATGAGCCTTCTTGGTGGGGACAGGATGGTGATAGAGGAGCTTCTGGCCCAGCGTAGACTCGGGGGACACAAGACAGAAAATGGTCATTTGGAGAGCACCATCTTTCTAGTACCCTGTCCATGTGCTCAGGACCTGCATGCACCCTTGTGCTGAGCTGGTGGGCTCCCTGCACCGACATTGTCATGAGCACTTTTAGGTATTCATGAGCCATGGCCTCAGACAGAGCTCCATTCAAATTTCTCAAGCTGCAGTCTGAACCATCTCTGTGTGAACTCGCAAGGGTGGCTGCATAGGCCAGGTTACCTCTCAGATCTGCTGTATCAAGGATGTGGTCTGTACTTGCCACACACATCTTTGCTTGATTCTCTGGCAAAGTGAAGAAGTTCCGAGCCACAGGAAGCAGGGTTGGAGATGTGATAGGGAAAGCTTGGTTAGTTGACAGCTTTTCCAAGGGAGTGTGGAGACAAACTCAACCTCTGCAACTTTCCCAAGGGACTTGCGATAAGAACCTTCCATGTGCCCAAAAAAAGGGAAAGATGAGCAAAGAAAGCAGTGACACTACTACCAGCCTTGACCTCTTGTCCCCAGGATACCCTCATCATATAGGGCTCTCCCCTGGGGTTCGATGCCCATGCATACCTTCTTGTAGCTCTGTAGGCTGCCCTGGGTCCCATGCAGTCTCCCACCTGAGGAAAGGAGAAGAGGAACCTCAGAGAGACACCCTAACAGGAGAGGTGTGAAAAACTAAATGTAAGGGGTCCCACATTTCAGTCTTTAACTTACAGAGGAAGCTAATAGGTTTTTTAAATCTCACCCCCTAAATTCATATTACCCATTTAATATGTCTAAGTATGTAATACTTGTCTATTTTCTTCTATAGGTTGAAGAGAGACCAGAAAAAGATTTTACTGAGAAGGTAAGGAATCATTCATAAACCTAACGGGCCCCAAGATTTATGGGTGAAACTGATTTTTTAAAATGTTGTTTGGCCGGGCTCAGTGGCTCATCCTGTAATCCCGTGCCTTTGGGAGACTGAGGTGAGTGGATTGCCTGAGCCCGCAGGTTCGAGACCCGCCTGGGCAGCGAGACTTCATCTCTACAATAAATCAAAAAAATCAGCCGGGCGTGGCAGCGCGCGCCTGTAATTCTGGCTACTTGGAAGGCTGAGGCAGAAGAATCGCCGGAGCCCAGCAGGTCGAGGCTGTGGTGGCCAGGAGCGGCCACTGCACTCCAGTCTGGGCGACCGTGAGACTCCAACTCAAAAAAAAAAATGTTGCCTGGTGTTGAATAAAGTTGTTCACCAGTGAGTGAACAGGACTATTAAGTGGCCCAACCAATCTGGTGTCACATCCTGGTAGGGAGTCCCCTGGCAGTCCTATCTTGTGTGTGTTAAATCCTGCACAGCAGTGACAGCATTTACAATGGGCCCAACCATAGAGCTTAAGGTTAATCCATACAGATCCAAAACATCTATGGGGTACCTCAAAATGAGCCTCTCTTTATTGTTTACCATAACTTTAGACTTAGAAGTAATTCTGTTTTTGTCTGAAATTACAATTGATCTTCACAACCTTCCAGGGGTCTCGTAACATGCCAGGCTTGTCTGCAGCCACTTTGGCCTCTCTGGGTGGGACTTCCTCTCGGAGAGGCAGTGGAGACACTTCCATCTCCATTGACACTGAGGCATCCATTAGGGAAATCAAGGTAAGACACTCTACTTACTTGAAAGACCCTTTTGTGAAAATCAGTCTTCAAATACAAGAAGATTTAATTCATAAAGTTCTGGATCTTTCTTCTCAGACCTGTCTCCCCTAAAACATGGTGTTCTCATAACATTCAGACCTAGCTCAGAGAGTGTCTCTGCAAGAAGCCTACCCCCACCCCAGCAGGACAGCTGTGCCTGTCCCCTCTGAGCCCCCTCAGCACTCTGGGCCTACCCTAGTGAGTGCACTCACCACATTGTGTTGATGTGCTTGATTATCTCTGTATGCTCACTCTGTGTAGACATTTGTCCTGTATATTTTAGACACCGGTTCACTTCCTGCTTGCGGACCACATCAGGCACTGTCACATAACCTTGTCCGCTGAGTCTCGTCCCCTGTGCCTAGAATGTGCCTTTTCCTTTCTATTTGTAACATGACCTCATCATTGTATTTTAATGGTTTTTTTCCTCCCACTAGAATGCAAATAATATTGTCAGTTATATCCCTGGCACCCAGGACAGTGCCAGGCATTTGGTAACATTCTCTGTGTGAGAGAGAAACACATGCTATTTGTTAAAGTAACTAGGGACATTGCATGTGAAAAACAGAAGACTTCTCCAGGGGGCAGAATCAAGACAGAGGGAGCCGAAAGGAGTCAGATTTGGCTTCATTTGTGAAAGAGTTTTCTAACACTTAAAACTGGGTTAAGCCAGGCTTGGTGGCTCAGCCTGTAATCCCGTGCCTTTGGGAGGCTGAGGTGAGTGGATTGCCTGAGCCCGCGGGTTCGAGACCCGCCTGGGCAGCGAGACCTCATCTCTACAATAAATCAAAAAATCAGCCGGGCGTGGTAGCGCATGCCTGTAATTCCGGCTACTCGGAAGGCTGAGGCAGAAGGATCGCCAGAGCCCAGCAGGTCGAGGCTACGTTGGCCGGGAGCAGCCACTGCACTCCAGTGGGCGACTGAGTGAGACTCCAACTCAAAAAAAACCAAAAAACAAAAAGCAAAACTGGTTCAAAAGGGAACCGGCTCCCACTGGTAATAATACCTGAGCAGCTGGATGACCATTTATCCTGGAGGACAGACAAGGGATTTAAGCATCCACCAGAGGTTGGACTGGGTTACCTTGAAGATGCCTATAATACCAGAAGAGCTGTTTCCCATTTGCCAGCCCTTGGCCTCTTTGTTCATTCTTTTGCTACATCAAATTAGAACTTGTGGCAGTCCTTATTTGTCTCTGCTCTTAGGTTGTGAGTGCCATTCACTTGTTCAGCAAGTACTTAGTAGGAGAGGCTACCTCATGCCAGATGCTATCCCAGACATCAGGACTTTGGCAAAGTAGAGACTTGGACCTCCGTAAATGCAGAGATAAAGTTTTGCTGATTTATGCCACTAACATCTTACTGTATCTTGTACTGATTAGGAACTCAGAGTGCTTGAGTGAGTTATTAAATAGGAGTGAAATAACTTGTACTATTTTCAGAAGCTCTTTTGCTTGTTTTTTGAAACTGTATAAAATCGTATGAAATGCACCTAAGTTTTAGAAAATTGTATAAAGATACTATATAGGATATGCCTAAATTTTAATCTTTGTAAGATTGAAATTTGTTTTCCTTTAACATTTAATAAAAGAAAAAATAAAATTGATGCTCAGACTACCCAAATAATAGAAACTACCCGAAGTATAGAAGATTTAGGGAATCACGTTATTTCCCTTGACATCATCTGCCTTTTTTTGCCATTTCCCCCAGGAACTCAATGAGTTAAAGGACCAGATTCAGGATGTAGAAGGCAAATACATGCAGGGATTGAAAGAGATGAAGGTACCAGCTTACAGAAGTGTGGTCTCACGATATTAACCCAACTTAACTTTTAAAAAATCCTAAAGAAGTTGAAAGTGCATGCTTACTCTAAAGAGGCTTATAGGAAGATCTCAAGATGGCAGGAATGATGGCATGGGTGTGCGCTCACTGTTTCCCCAAATACAGTTTCTGAACCTAGACTTGAAAATTAAAACCCTCCAGTAGAAAAAGTTACTAACATATTTCCTGATGTGTGTCTTGTACTTACCATCCTTCCCTCAAAACCAATTTCTCATCTCCCATAGATGTGTACCAGGCACTTGAAGGTTTTTTACCTTCTTCACTATTGTAGTTGTTAGATACAAACATGCTTTGTTGGATTTACTTTTCAAAATATCTGATGTCTGCTAATAAGATAGTCCTAATATGCTGTGCTTTTGAAACGCCCCAATTATTTGCATTATGTAAATTTTTACTAATTGAAGTGAAGTCTGAGTGTGTCGTCTTGGATTTATTTGAGCATATACACACTACTTTTAGAATGTGAAGTTACTTCATTGTGCCAGCCAGGAAATGTGGTGCCATATTCCTTGAAGGTAAGGTGAGTAGTTGGTGACTATCTTCATTAGACAGCTGTGGCAGATCATGGATCTAGCAGTAGATGGTAAATCTGTTACTTCCCTTTCAGCTCCCCAGGAAGTACAGAGTCTGAATTCAGTATCAAAGGGCACCAAACAGAGGAGATGACATAAACCACATGATTAATTCGTCATTTTCATATATGTTACTACTCTTTAAGCGGGGAAAAAATAAGACTCTGGCTTTCAATTCTTGTATAAAGAGAGCCACTGAACAAACCCAGGACCCACTGTTCCCTCTTAAAATGATTGCTGTGTTGTGGAAGTGCAGGGCGAGACCAGCAGTGGTTTCCATGAGACCACCTTGTAGTACCTGCTGCATCTGTCCTAGTGCCTCCCATCTCTTCCTTTAGCTTTGCATAGTTTGTACCCTGATGGTTCTGCTCTCTCTGTTCTCCTAGAATTGCCTTCCCCTGATTATACTTTGGGATCTGTAGGGGTATGAACCATGTGAGGACATCACCATGGGTATTTCACAGACCTCTTTCTCTGTGCTGTCCTTATAAAGGAATGACCTTTGTCTTTCCAGGACCTACCCAGTGAGACCTGGGAACCTTGTTTAGTTTTCCTGTGGGTTGAAAATCTGAAATCACCACTAATCTTTTCCTGGTTCATAAGCCAGAACAAACAGTCACTGTGGCTTGTGGCAGTACTTAGTTATGTCAACCATTGCACGCTGGCTTTCCCAGGTGCAGGTCACATGTATTGAATGATTACTTCAGAAACTTTTTGAACAACTCTGACACACAGCTCTATACACTAACTGTGACTACAGAGTAGAGCCAGAGACACTACTGCCTCTGTGACCAAAACCCTTTCCATATTACCTGTCTCCTTTTTTCTAATGAGTATATAAATTGCTTTCACCCCCAGACACATTTAATAATTAATTTTCTGAGAGATGAGAACTTGACTGAATTGAAAAGGGGAGATTTCTGTGCATTTTTAATTTGCCATGTTTTTATTCTGATTCATTTGCTCTAAGAAACATAGTCTAGATTTAGAACTGAGATTTGTTTTTAAAGAATACCAGACTAATCTTCGGTGTTCTTACTGTAATTTCAAAAATACGATCTGCTTTCTGCAGGACTCCTTAGCAGAAGTTGAAGAGAAATATAAGAAGGCTATGGTTTCCAATGCTCAGCTAGACAATGAGAAGACAAACTTCATGTACCAGGTTGATACCCTAAAAGATATGTTGCTGGAGCTTGAAGAACAACTGGCTGAATCTAGGCGACAATATGAAGAGAAAAACAAAGTAAGCATGGATATGATAGAGAATGGTAGAATATTTATACATGTGTGTGTGCATGTGTATTTATATGTAGGTGCATATATTATAATTTATAATATATTATTTATATATTTTTGAACAATGGTTCTCCACTTGTCCAGGAAACCCAAATATGTGAGAATAAGAATACCATACTATTGCTGAGGGACTTGAAATATTGGTATGCATAATTGCAACATGTAAATTAGAGACAACTTTACTAGAAGAACATTAATGTTTTCCATGTAAGGTAAAATTATAGCAATTGGAAAAAAATGCCTATGAAAGAGCCAACATGATCAGATAAGGCATGATCAGATGCTTCAAGATTTTCCTGTTAATATATATTTTAATTTTTTGATTTTAATTTTGTCCTCTCTTAACACCATAGAGAAATAGTTATGAGTATCAAAGATTTAAGGAAAATTATATTAATTTATTTTCTGATGGTTGGGAAAAGATACAGTTACTCCATTTAAGAATTAAATACCTCATTAAGCTCAGAGGAAGGGTAGAGTCTTATTTGAGCTTTCATTAAGAACCACTGGAATTAGTTTGTTGTTAATTTCTGATGTCAGTCTCAAGCGTGAGTAATATGTTGAGATTAATGGCAGTAACCCGATTCAGTGAAAAGCTGGGCTTAGATGTTCTTTATGAGAACAGAGGATACTTGTTTTTTGTATTTTTAGGAATTGTCCAATTTTTCAGAGATTTTGAGATAAACAGAAAATTTAGTGTGTGTCATTGTCTGTTTTTTTTAGTAGACTATCCTGTAAATTCCAAGGGTTGAAACCAAAGTACCCTTAACAACTCACAGGCCTACTTCTTTGACTGCTACATAATTGAGTTAGAAGCTGAAGAAGAATTTTATTCACGAGGTTCCCAATAGCTGAACTCTGAAAGAGGAGACTGTTTATGAGACCCAATGCCATGTGGGAGTATAGCAGCAGAGGGCAGATTCTGAGCCTTGCTTGGGTGGGGGATACTGTAATACATCCACACTCCTCCCAGATGCCATCATTAGGCATCGGTAGGTGAACTGAGAACCCTCGAGTATAACTGCAGAGAAGCTGGTAGTACTAGAATGTTATCCCAAGGTGGGAGCAGGGGCCAAGCAGAGCCCCATAGGAAGGCCCTTGTTGTAGCCAGGGGGTTTCCAGCCACCCACAGCTAAAGGAAGTGAGCAAGCAGAGATGCTAGGCTGATCAGAAGCACAGGCCAGATCTCTTCTCAGATAACCCACCTAACAGATCTAGTAATAGGCACCCTGTCATCTCGTCAACTGTCGGCAGTGTTATTTGGGGCCCAGACCATCACTAGGGACTATGCTGCTATGACTGAGCAGAAGAACAGAAAAGCCATATTGCCAGATTCCTAAAGTGACTCATGAAGTGGAAGTCTAGGCCTGGGGGAGCGGCTTCCTTTTGCAAACTCTTTGCTTGCTTCCCCCAGCTTTTCCTGTTCTGTCCCTTGAGTGGCAGCCCTGGATTACAGCATTGGCCACTCACTCTCAATGAGAGCTGCTGGCCAAAGTAGGCTGTGTTTACCTTCTATTTATCCCAGAGACTTCCTTGTCATAGTTCAAATCAGAAATCATTTTATGGGAAGTCCTTTGCAGGCCTGCCTCATCCAGGCTCTCAGCACAGTACTGTATAGCAGCAGGCTCCCTGATGGGACTCTCCTGGGACATTACTTCACTATAGAGAAATCAGGAAACACTTGTTGATTGCATCAACTCCTCATGTTAATTTTACCATAAATCATCAGGCATGTCTACAAAGTCCAGAGGAATGAATTGTCTTATTAAAAAGGCCGTGAAGCCGGGGTTGGTGGCTCAGCCTGTAATCCCGCGCCTTTGGGAGGCTGAGGTTGCCGCGGGTTCGAGATCCGCCTGGGTGGCGAGACCTCATCTCTACAATAAATCAAAAAAAAAAGTCAGCTGGGCATGGTAGTGCATGCCTGTAATTCCGGCTACTTGGAAGGCTGAGGTGGAAGGATTGCCGGAGCCCAGCAGGTCGAGGCTGCGGTGGCTGGGAGCTGCCACTGCCCTCCAGTCTGGGCGACAGAGTGAGACTCCAACTCAAAAAAAAAAAGGGCCGTGAAAATTGTGACATAGTAGCAGATAATTTGTTCCCAGGGACATGTAAATCATGAGAACTTGAACTAGTATCACAAGAAAATTGAATTCCACTGCTGTTTTTCTCCTTCATAGGAATTTGAAAGGGAAAAACATGCCCACAGTATACTGCAATTTCAATTTGCTGAAGTCAAGGAGGCTCTGAAGCAAAGAGAAGAAATGCTTGAGGTAGGTAGCTTTTTCCTGCTTTTCTTTTTCTTTTTGACTTGGAGCATTTTGTTGGTTCATGGTTATCTTAGATTACGCTGTGGTAACAAAATACCTCGGACTGCATGGCTTGAACAACAGAAATTTACTTTCTCACAGTTCTGGAGGCTGAAAAGTCCAAGATCAAGGTCAGGTTCTGGTAAGACCTTTCTTCCTACTGGTGCAGACAGCCACTTTCTTGCTGTGTCCTTGCATGGCAGAATGAGAGCAAGCTCTCTGGAGTCTTTATAAGGACACTACTTCTGTTAGATTAAGTCCCCACCCTTATAACCTCATTTAACCATAATTACCTCATAAAGACCCTACCTCCATATGTAGTCACACTGGGCACTAGAACTTCAGTATATGAATTTGAGGGGGATCCATAGCAATTACTAAAGTTACCAGTTTTCTTAAAATTGAAATTGATTCTCCATGCCCACCTTAAGGAAACAGTCTCTCTCACTGGTGCAGATTTTACTCTTTGGTGGTCTTGTATCTGTTTGGAGAGGTGTAGTAGACAGAATAATGCCCCCCGCCCAATATGTCCACATCCTACTTCCTGGAAATTGTAAATATGTTACCTTACCTGATAAAAAGGGCTTTGTAAATGTGATTAAATTAAAGACTTCAAGAGGGAATGATTATCCTAAATTATTTGGGTGGGCCTGATATAATCACAGGTGTCCTTATAAGAGAAAGGCAAGTAAAAGACAGAAGTAGGAGATGTGACAAAGGAGGCAGAAGTCAGAGTTATGTGAGGAAGGGGCCATGAGCCAAAGAATGTAGGCCAGTTCTAGAAGATAGAAAAAGCAAGGAAACAGATTCTCCCTAGAGACTTTGGAAAGGCTTACCTGCAAGACTCATTTTGGACTTCTGCCCTCCAGAACTGTAAAAGAATATATTGATTGTTTTAAGCCACTGAATGTGTGGTAATTTGTTACAGTGGCAATAGGAAATGAATACAGGTTGGTTTTTAATTGCTTAACTTAATCAGTACTTTGGTGCCTTAAAGTGAGAATGTCACCCAAGCAGGTTTTCTTCCTGCACTTGAAGCTGGGAGTAGACCAAGGAAAATCCTAGACTGCTGAGGATGAATTCAGGGTTGATGATGTGAAAGGGTGCTTGTTAACTCTCTAAACTGTCCCAGCTCTCAGGCCTCCTAGCACTGGGGTTTTCCTGCCTGTTTAATCCTTTATCTGCTTTCTTTCTATCTGTTCCTTTCCTCAGGAAATCCGACAGCTACAGCAGAAACAGGCGAGTTATATCAGGGAGATTTCTGATCTTCAGGAAACGATAGAGTGGAAAGACAAAAAGATAGGGGTAGGATTCTCAAGTCTTTGAAAATCTATTCCTACAGCAGGCTGTTTAGCAAATAGAGTTCTTTTGGAACTTTTGGTTTACAAAAATGCTTGTCTGTGTATGCATGCATCCCTCATATGACACAAAATGTTATTAATTTTACTTAATTGTGATTAATTGAAATAAATTTTGATGATTTTATTAAGTAGTTAATATACTAACTTATCCAAATTGTTTTGAAGTTTTTGAATTTGACATTGATTCCCACCATGAAGGTTCTCATTGTCTGTGCATAACCAGCTCTCTCTGCCTGTGTCTTGAATGGGCAGACTAGTGGCCTGTTGAAACATGTGGAGTAAGGGAGGCACTCCACGGCAGGTCTGATGAGTGGAGAGTCAACTTCTTGAAATTACATGCAGTGTGCCTGGATTTTTTCTCAAAGCGATTTGATTTATTCCCACTTTGAAATCTCCCCAGGGAAGGTCTCCCCACAATACTTCTCTCCTGCCACAAGAAAAGAGGAGGCAACTCACCTACACTTAGAATTGAAGAATAGCAAGAATGGAATCCCACAAAGTGACTGCTGTGATTCATAATGACAAATGGTTTCCTAAAAATAGCAACTCATATACACAGCTCTGATAAAGACCTAGAGATGTCTGAGCTCATCATCAGCATGAGGCTCCTGGAGCTGCACCTGTTTCCACTTGATATGCTCGAGGGCAGTTAGGATTCTGTGTGCACGTGTGTGTGTGTGCGCGTGCGTGTGTGTGTGTGTGTGTGTGTGTGTGTGTGTGCGCGTGTGTGTGCGAGAGAGAGAGAGAGAGAGAGAGAGAGAGAGAGAGAGAGATTGCTTTAGGACCACTCTATGTTTATCTGTGACAACAGGTTGCAAGAGCCAATATATAACAATAGTCTAAATTGCTAAAACAGTTGTCATGTGGACATTCTTAAGCATTCCTTCTTGTTCTCTATTGATTTCTCACTTCTGTTAACTCCTTAAAACAATGTTGTGAACCAGCAGACAATGCAAGAAAACAATACAAATAAAACAGCCTTCCTGCCTGTGCTGTTAACTGTCTTTCAGGGATTACAAGCAGTAACATTTCTTGAATCCCATAAACTAAATAAAAAGCTTAATATTTGCATTCTATTCATATTTTTAAGCAGAGTCTCTGTTATGTCTTTAAATCTGTTAGTGGGTTAGGTGGTAGAGCTTTCTTCTTGTTCTTGCTTCTTAAATAACTTGCTCATCTGTGTGAATCTTCTTTCTCTTGGCTCTGTGGCTCACTCAGGCATTAGAGAGGCAGAAAGAGTTCTTTGATTCCATAAGGAGTGAACGAGATGATCTTAGAGAAGAAGTAGTCACACTGAAAGAGGAATTAAAGGTATGAAGCCAAAGTACAGTTTTTAAAAATAATCCAGGTGACAACAGAAAATTCTGGGGTTCTATGAATATGTATGTGTACTAATGTTAATCAATTTTATGTCATTGATTTTAGTTCTGCTAGTAATTCAAATCCTAGATTAACTGACACTGACAAGAAACATAAAATAAGTGTAGATTCCATGGGCTATGCCTTTGACCTTTAGATGTTTACAAGCATAGCTGATCTAGAATGCATCTCTGAGTTTCAAGAATTTTTTTATATTCTAAATTTTTCTCATACTCATTAGTAAATTTCCTGAGTATGAGAAAAATTTAGATTATATAAAACACTACTCAGAATTAGAGAATTTATTTGCTTCTTTACATTAAAGCTTCAAATTTAAAGACTTCTCTAACTGAACATGTCCTGGGTAAATGGTTTGGACAAGACCTGTGCTAATTAGACTTTGAGACCCATTAGATTACAAGTGGAGGAAAGTTCTCTGTTCTGTGTGGGCCACATCAAGAGTTCTTCAGTTGCTGGCTTGACACAGAGTAAAACACCAATGGACAGCACTCTGGGTTGGCTCTCAGAATTACTGAAGGAGGAGGGTTGAACAGTCAGTAGAAGCGTATTCGTGACAGCTGCTTGTCTTCTGGGATTAAAGTCACAGCAGTAATCCAGTGGGCTACAGATTTAGAGCTAAGATTCGTAGTGCTGAGTATAGGGGTGGGGAATTAATTCCTCATGCACAAGGGAAAGAGCTGTGGGCAGCAGGTGGGAGTGGGCAAATGATCCCTGAAGTGTGAAATGTCACTGTTTGTAAAGTGCTTCACTATGTAGTGAGCATGGATTATATTTCTTTTGAATTTACCAAACATTCTAGTCACCTCTCAATTCCTTCTTTAACATAAGTTTCATTCATTCCTTTCAGAACACATGCATATTTCGTTCTTTATCTTGCTCTCTCAAGTAACACAAGCAGGGTTTAAGAATTAAAAGTCACTTTACAGTGATGTGCTTGGTACTCCACTTGTGGCAGTCCTCAGGTCATTACTTCTTGTTAAAAAGCATACCTATCCGGGCTCGGTGGCTCAGCCTGTAATCCCACACCTTGGGAGGCTGAGGTGAGTGGATTGCCTGAGCCCGCGGGTTCGAGACCCGCCTGGGCAACTTGGCGAGACCTCATCTCTACAATAAATAAAAAATGAGCTGGGCGTGGTAGTGCGTGCCCGTAGTTCCAGCTACTTGGAAGGCTGAGGCGGAAGGATCTCTGGAGCCCAGCAGGTCGAGGCTGCGGTGGCTGGGAGCGGCCACTGTACTCCAGTCTGGGCGACAGAGTGAGACTCCAACTCAAAAAAAAAAAAGGATACCTGTTGTGGGTATCTTGTCCCTAGTAAATTAAGGCATGGATTGGAACATCTAAGAAAGAAGTTACCTTTGGAGGAAGGCAGCACAGATTTGTGTGTGTTGCTGGAATATTTACAGGTATGGCGTCCTAGCACACCCTCTATCTCTGTAGAGTATCCTCTACAGGAAAAAATGTTTTCCTTTTTTTAATCAATAGTAAGTAAACAGAGTTTAACCTAACACCACTGAGCGAGTATTATGATGAGCCTACTTCTATTCTCAGAAACATGGAATCATCCTAAATTCAGAAATAGCTACCAATGGAGAGACTTCAGACACTCTAAATAATGTTGGATACCAAGGTCCTACCAGGATGACAAAAGAAGAGCTAAATGCCCTCAAGTCTACAGGGGATGGGACACTAGGTAAGTATTTGTTTTCCTTTGGATCCTTTCACCTTTCAAGTCAGCATTGATTCACTTCCCCTGCATTATTGGAGTTGGAGTAATCATCACTGATCAATTAACAGTCACACAGCATGCCATCTGTTTCATCACTTCATAGTAATTTCCTTGCCACATGATGTGGTCACCCACGTGTTGTCTGGCATGCATCTCTGTGTAGTGCTCACCACCAATGGCTCAAGTATACATTTCTTTTGCTTCTCAAAGCTACCAAGCAAGATTGTGAATGCAAGGAAAATAGCTTCAAACTTAAGTGACGATGTTGAGAGTACTCTTTGGTTTTCCTCAGATAAGTACCAAGTGTGGCTTTTTAACTGATCCTATTACAGAATTGTCAAAAGATCAGAATAGTAGAGGCCGTAGAGTCAATTTGGTGACTGTATTTGCAAGACCATATCATACAACCTATACAGCATTCAGGATGATAAGGGGACGAGATGCTTGTAGACAGCAGATTGGTACTTGAGACGAAGCATGTCTGCTGATTGCTCTCAGACTGCTGCTAGAGGTGGACAGGCAGCCCCGGCAGAATGTGTCAGTGCTAAGGAGGTGCCCTCCCTACAAGGTCTGAAATTGCTCACATCAGTCAGGTGATCCTCGTGTGTACGCCACATGTTTGCTTCTGAGAGAACAGCCAATTGGTGAATCCATTAGCTTGTAGGAATATTTTATACCATTTTCAATTATCTGAAAAGAGCCACTGATTAATATCTGTCATAATATCTGACTTTGGAAAAAACCTCAGATTCTGGCCTGCAGCCTGAAGTTGTAGCTGCAAACAAGACCCCAACTGTTGTTGGTTACTCATTGCATTCCAGCTTTTTACCGTGAGGCTGGAATGCAAGGATAGGGTCCATGACTTTTAATTTTGATATACAAACTTTCATCATATTTCTTTTTATTTATGGAAGCATAGAAGCTGCTAGGCTTCAGCTTCTCAGGACTTGCTCCCCAGGGAAGTACCTCCTCCCTCATTATCTCTATGACTATCCAAGAAACACAACTTTTGTAAATTGTGTAAAAGTTGATGAAAAAAGATAAATTAATTAATTTTCATCATGCCTTTATATTAGCTGCCTGAACAGCTAGGAATTTGATTATGCTGCTCTTACTCAAATAATACATTTTATAAATCTTTGCTAACTATTGTGAAATGCTTAAAGAACCAGAAATATCAGTTTTACAGTTGTCTTCAAATGTCTTTTTATCACAAATCCCATCAGTAAAGAATTGTGAGAACTTACCAATTATGTTTATTTTTAATGTGTATATGTATACTATTTTATTAAGATAAAATGTATATTATAAAACAGTATAGTTTTTGAAGGGTGGAGTAAAACTAAACAGAAGCCCTAATATTGCCCCCATTTTCTCTGGGGTAAGTGTACCCCAGGGAAACCGCTGGGTTATAAAATTATCTAGCTTTGACTTTTGGTAACATGGTACTGTATGTAATCTGCTGGGGTTTTGTTTATTTGGAGAATCCAAAAATTTCAAAGCGGTAATGTGTTCTTTAGCTGACAAATAACTCAGTATTTAATTAAGTGATCATCTTGATCTTGAGTATTTGCCTCCTGCTGGTACTCTCCCCCCCAGTCCCCTAGGGGATAGAGCAGAGGCATTATGGCAGCATCAGCAAGACAATGGTTAGGTGGTGGAAGATAGATTTCTTTTCAACACAAGAACTGTTTTAAAAGTATCTTCCTTGAGATTGACCTTGAGGAGGAACTTCTAAAAGTGAACTGAACGAATATTCTTTTTAAAAATTAGTTGAAAGCTGCTTTTAGGGCTGTGTGACATGCAGTGCAGTATGACAGCTGAAAAAGTACACGTTGTCAAGTTGTGTATTTGGCGATGAGAATGGGGAATTTGAACCTTAAGTCCATCCTTATACCCATCATTTTGGATTGTTTGGCTGCCTGATCCAGAGCTCTATTTGTTAAAACTTAACTTCACCTTTAAACATTCGTCCACACAAGATGGCACCACCAGCCACCCTTGCCTCTGAAGTGATGGCAATGACTCTTGCTGATCAGAAATTTACTAATGCAACTGCTGCTTTGCCGCACAGAACTGGCAAAGGCTCTGTTTCACATGATTCTTTGACTCACTCTCTTTTAGGAATAGAGTTGGGTGGGATTTAGAACATGTGTTTACATTTTAATATATATTAAGTGGTCACCACATCATGGGGTCCCTTCAATTTTCTCAATGGTCTTTTAGGAAGAGCCAATGAAGTGGAGGTGAAAAATGAAATTATGGAGAATGTGGGGAAAAGAGAAATCTTGCAGAATACTGAGAAAGAACAGCACAAAGAGGACACAATAAAGGATTGTGTGGACATAGAGGTCTTACATCCTGGTGAAATTACCAAGGACCAGAAAACCTCTGATGAAGACAATGCCCCTTCCCTAGGGACGTTAGAAAGTGCTAAATGTGAGGAAAAGGTCCAAAGCCAAATTCTAGATAACACTTCTTTCCTTGAAAATACAGAGCAGTTTGAGTCAGATGAGGTCATCAATGTGTCAGATGATAGGACTGGAGTTTCCTTTGATCATTTCAACTGTTTGAACGACTTAGATAGTGAGAGCCACATAGAGACCGTAGAAGAGGCAGGGATAACTCAGGTTGGAGAGCAGGTAGGCATAGTGGCCTCATATCCTCCAAAGTGTAGTGATGACACAGTGTGTCATGATGAAAAACGTGCAGTAGATGCCCCAGAAGAGTTGGAGCCAAGCACAAGGGACAGTTTAGAAAAAGGACTTGCCAGCCAGGAAGTAGGTGAGCCCAAGGAGGTCCTAGTTCAGAGTACAGAAGTAGGTAGGGAGAACAATGAAGAAGAAGATGAAGAAGAAGGATTAAGGGATGAGAAACCAATCAAGATGGAAGTCCAAACCATTCCTGGTTCTCTGGCAGCCAAGAGTGGTTATCAGGAAGCAACATGTCCAAGCATAGTAGATACTGAAAGTGAACCCCTAGATATGAAAGAGCCTGACAGAGAAAAGAATGACCAGCAGGGAGAGGCATTGGATTCATCACAGAAGAAGACAAAGAACAAGAAAAAGAAAAACAAGAAGAAAAAATCACCAGTACCTGTAGAAACCCTTAAAGATGTTAGGAAAGAGTTAACATATCAGAACACAGATTTAAGTGATGAAGTTAAGGAAGAAGAGCTGGTAAAATTTACTGACAAAAAATATGTAGTGGAAGCCCAAAATGAGGTGACTAAAAATCTAGGACAGAAAATTGTAGCAGAAAGCAGTGAAAATGTTGATTGTCCAGAACATCCTAAAACTGAGCTGGATGGAAAACTTAACCAAGATAATGATGATATAAAAACAACAGTAGGGAAAGTGATAGCTGATGGAGACACATTCAATTCTGAAGATGATGCAATTCCATTACCAGGCACTAGTGCTAGCGATAAAGAATTAGATGAAGGTGTTATAAAAGATAATGTTAAAAAAGATGGTGCCTCTCAAAGCAATCCTCTAGAGCCAGAGAATGAAGAAGCATATGGCAATGACCTGCTCGAAAAAAAAAGTCCCTTAAAGGACATTAATGATGGCTCTCGAACAGAAAGTACAGAGAGGCATGTGGTATCAGAACACCCGTATCAGACAATCAGGAAAGACAGCATTAGTCTAGAAAACGATGACTTGTCAGCACCAGGAGGAGAGGGGGACTTCAATTCAGAAAGCAGAGAAGATACAAGAGGAGGAAGTGAGAAGGGCAAAAGCAAAGAAGACTGTACCATGTCCTAAGTTGAGGCAGACGGCAGAAGGCAGGCATGATGCGAGGAGGAATTCTAGAAAAGGGCCAAAGACTGTGCACAGTAAGTCTGATTGTAAGAGACTCATCTTTTATCTCCGCTGGCGATGTAAGTAAAATGTACTAAATTGATAGAGATGCACTGTATGACAATCAGTCCCCAGGTTATCAACTACTCTTAAGTTATAGACTGTTACTTGTAGATTTATATTTAATCATTGAGGTTATCACTCACATTAGAAAGATGCATTTGTTATTAGTGTAAGTTCTAAGCAAGAGTATTCCAATAATGTATACTGTTTATGGTCCAGCTTATAATAAAAATAAAATATTTAACATTTGCCTTAAGCTGATATGAACATGAATATTCTTTACCAAATATATCAACAGCTAATTGAAATGACCAAATAGCACTCTTAGATGTCTGTATTATGAATATGATTGATATTTAAATAAATGTCTCATCAAATATATGTACTTTCATACTTGATTTTACTATGTACATTATAATCTGTATGGTATTTTATTTAAAGGTGATAAGCCAAATAGCAAATAGGTCACTGAGTAATATTATTTGCACCTTAGGACAATAACTAATCACTTTAGGGATAACAGATAAATGTCTGAAAGCACTAGGGAGGCCTTATTTGCCTTTACCTCATCTATGTCTTTTATCTCAAATCAATACTTTTCGATTTCATTGTTGATGATACCTGAATTTACTTTGTAGATTTTTGACTTCACTTCTTGCTGATAATGTACCAAATTCATTTTATACAGAGATTTTTAAAAGATTTTTTTCTGGAAGTGACATATGTTGAAATTGCATTTCCTACTGCAGTGTTTGGGCAAGGGCAGTCATTAAAAAAATGTTTTAAACCTTAAAGTTACTTCTGTTTCTGTTTGAATGTCTAATCATTATTCAAAGATCATTATAAGAGGTTGTTTGTTTTTGTGCAAACTACTAATTAGACTATAATGGGATAGTTTAAGGAGTTGAATCACTTTGGGTATTTTCATTAAATTTTTAATTTTTTTTTAAGTATTTTCTTAGTGGAAAATTCTTGTTTTGATCTGCCTGAAGAAAATATCTATTTTCTATATACAGGTGCATTTTAAAGAATAATTGTAAAGTTAGATTTAAGAACTGTAAATTATAAAATCACAAAGGAATGTACATTAATGAATGTTGTTGACACTTTATGAGATTCTGTGAATTCATATTACTGTTACAAGATAGAACTGAATGCAAAAAGACCAAAGCCTCAATAAAATTTGAGGCCAAGTTAAGTGTTATTATCCAATTGAAATAAAAACATAATTTTTCAATCCTGTGGTTCCACTCTTTGGACTACTTGAATTCTGACTCTGGCTACTGTTTTACATAACACCACCTTTCAAGTAATATCTGCTGTGGTTGCTCATTCCCAGTGGGGTTCTGTGAAAGAACCACGCCCACTGTTCCTCATGACATTTCCTGTGATCTGTGGTTCTGATGAGAAACCCCAGTTGAGAAAGGTCTCCATTCTGTGGTCTTGCTTAAATGTGCCAATACTTAGAAGGTTTTGAAGAATATGGTTTTTAAAATGGCAAAAACCTTGACCATTTCTGTAAGTGTCCCAAAGTAGAGGATAATGGGGAAGATAGATTAAAATCTGAGGCTTGCTACAGAATCAAGTCTGAGGACTCTATAGGACTTTAAAGGGTTATATCTCTAATGTTAGCAAAGCTACATTCATACTAGAATGCACATTAAAAGACAACTCTCATTCCTATTTCTTGGGAAGCGATTCAGCAACCAAAATCACTAAATGGTGAGCTCATTAAACCATTTTAAGTTCTTTCCCATATTATTTAACCGCCCCTTTCAGGACATTGAATGGGCTCCACATTCCTCAGCTCAGCCACTCAGCAGTCTCAATTATTCACTCACACACTCATTTACTTAAATGGTTTTTATCACTTTGTATATGGAAGGTGCTGTGCCAGTGAACCAGCAGATAAGAACTAGCTCTACAGTAGGAAATGGACAGCTGAGAATCAGTGAGCAACAAGGAAGTAAAAAAGACTTCTGAACAGCCAAACCATTTCTTGATCTCAGAGCCTTCACAGTGAAGGCCCTTAAATGATCAAGAAATGATTGGCTTAAGTATACTCAGTTTAAGAGGCTACATAAATCTATAAAGCAATTTGGGAAAATTTAAATGGCACAAGGTTCAAACTCAGAGAAGAATTAAGGGGTTACCTGCCAATCATATCCCTAGAGGTACCTGGACCTCTGAAGTTTCAATATAATACAGAGTAGCGAAAAACATTGGTCACTGATATCTGAAATCAAGAAACTTGGACATTTTTTAGCCCCAAGCCAGAACATAGCTCCTGTAGATAAATGTAAATCTTCTTTCAAAGGTATAATTAAATTTAATTATGGGTTTTATGTAGAAAATAGGGAAAGATGAATTTTTGAATAGCAGTTTAAACAAAGGTTGAAGAGCAATCAAGGTTTTAGAGCTTATTTAGAATGAGATGTATGACATTGACTATTTTCTATAATTTTTAATGTTTGCAGTTAACAGAATACCTAATGACCTGAAACATTTAAATTTCCACTATCACTAGGATCCTGAATGCTAATTCTGGGGGTTGAAATGGTTTGGGGTTCCTGTTTTCTGCCGATAGACTCCTTTCCTAGGAGACCATCTTATATAGCTATTCCACCATGGCCCCTGGGCCAAGAGAACACAACAGTAAGATCCATCCCAAATTTCTTAGCCACTAAGGGAAAGGGGTGTGTGTGTGTGTGTGTGTGTGTGTGTGTGTGTGTGTGTGTGTGTGTGTGTGTGTGCACGCGCGCACGTGTGCATTATGTTCAGAATATATACTTGTTCAGTGTGATAATTGTATATATAGAAAACTTTGTCTTTCAGAAGGAAAAATTTTCCATGCTTTCTCCCTATCTACTGCCTTTCTTACATGTTTTTCAAGATGTGATTGGCTGATGTAGGGGAAAATTTCCCAACTATACTGACTCTTTGGGCCCTGTAAATAAGAGAAAAAAGAAGTACCATTAGGGGCCTGCCCTGGTTTTGCCTTTTGCAGGAAGGAGGTGCTGTCCTGGTATGGGAGGTTGGCCTCAGGGAAGATGAAAATAACCACATGAATTATAGTCAGAATAAATAAGTGTGAGCAGGGAGTGGAGAAAAAACTGCAGTCAGTACATTTCCTGAGATATCTTGGTTCCCCTCGATCCCCCTTCATCATCTTTGCAAATACAGAGGGAAGGTGACTCCTGGACAATGGAAGTAGGAGTCCTGAGGCCAACGATGCTGAAACTAACTCTCAGAATTAAAAATATGCTCTTGGAAATAGATTATTACGAGCAAGTTAATCACTGTGCTTCGTTTTGATATCTGAAAATGGGGTGAGAACCTGCCTCTCAGAGTTGTGGTGAGGATCGTTTCATTTCATTTTCTTCTTCAATTCTGCTTTAAAATTTCTCTTCCTTAAAAGTTCCGTCTCTGTTTTTTGTATTCTCACTATAAAACTAAAGGTCAGATTACCTTCATTTATTTATTTGCTAGCAGTTTTATTACATTTTAACATTTATTTTCTATTTATCTAGAATATTTGAAGTATTCTAATAGAAAAAAATAAAATTATACACTAGATACATGAATTTCAAGATAATGCGCTGGTGTATTTGGAATTTCTTATGTTGCCTGTAGTTTTTGTATGTAGGGGTATAAAATATATAAGGTAAAAGGAAAAGTGATACTGGATAAAAGAACCAGGTTTCTAACTACAAAAATAGTTTGTTTCATGTTGGGTGGGTTTATGGAAGGGAAAGAGTATATCTTTCAGAAGCGATTTGACTGTATGTAAATAAGATGGAACTCAAAAGGAGTATACATTTAATTTATCTTATATTAGTCGTAACACTTACTGGTGCCTTATTTTGTTATTGTATCTTTCAAAATAACAACTTAGAGTCTTAGGAAAAAAACAATTAGAGAAAGATGTGAGTTGGATTAGAATCTGGCTAGATGATTTTTAAAATGAAAACAAAGATGCATTTTATGTGAATTATTTTCTTTTCACATAGCTAAATAAGGTTGGTTTTTCACTCTATGAGGAATCTGGGGCAAGACAGATGAGAGCAGTGTCCTCTTGAGATAAGAGTCTTGGGGTAGGAATCAAGGTTCAACTTAGGTTTAAGTTTAGAACTGGAGAAACAGTGAATGCAGTGGTTAGGGGTACGCCCCTGTGGTTGGGCTGCAAGGCCTTAGGAAAGTTGCTGAATCATTCTGGGCCCACCCTGGGCTGAAACAACCTAATGGCATCGCAGCTGCTAGAAGAGTGCCTGTCTGTGTCACAGAACAGGTGTGCAGTACACATTATCATTACGGTCATCATCCCATCATCTGGGCAGTGCCTCCAAACTAGTGTAAGATTTTTCCCAAACCCCCAAACCTTCCTAAGCCTTGGTTTTACTCTCTGAATCAGAAGTTTGTAGTACTTGATACTCCTTCAGAGAGATGTCCAGGGAATACATAGACACTTAACTTTATGTATCCTTATGTATCTGGGATGGGAGGAATTACAGACACCTAAACCATTACTATATTTTTCCTCAAAAGAATAACAGCTTTTGATAACTGAGTCAGCAGATATGTTTCAGGGGACTTAGAGTTCATAAACATAATGTTAAAACTCTAATATTAATGTGTCCATGAGAGAAACAAGAAAGACAAATACATCTGGGTATAAACTCAGAAAGGCAAGGCTAATTAAAATGCTGGTGCTATTGAGTCATGATTATCAGTGTGTTTGTACTTTGCTAACGATGTTAAACCATGAAGCCTGTGAGATCTTGTGTTGCAGTGTGGTTTGGCCCTAGAGTTCTTGCATGCTAACCTAAGGTAGAAGATTAGCCTGTTTGCATGCAGCCGGATGCTGCTCCTGACGTGAAGCATGTTCTGGGAGGTTGACCCAATCCCCCTTGGCTGAGTTCTTCCCCAGTCCTGTCTGTGGCCTCATTCACCGTGGTACGTGTATAACTACCTTCATCATTTTCATTTCACTAACCTGAACAATCATTCTTCAGCTTAGCAATG